ACTCCTGTTTTGGTTATAATTGCCGCACAACGTCAACCAGATATCAGCGGAATGAGTTAGGGTGATTACTTGTTTTTTAGTAATCACTGTGGCAACCTATTTATATACCATTTGATTAATTATTTTTCCTTCTTTTTTAATCTTATGGTCAAGATTCTTTTAGGGTAATTTTGGAAATTAAAAAGTAACCACACCTGATTATTCTATATAATCTACCTAAACCCTAGTTCTATCCTCCCTCCAGCCAAACCCGTGGCAGCCGCCTCCACGTACCACTCCCATCGCACCGCCGGCAGCAGTCCCGACCACCCTCGGCCGCCACCGACAGCAGCCCCCTCGGTACCCTCTCCCTCTCCCTCTCCCTCTCCCTCTCCGCCAAAGTGATCTCACTGCCAAAGTGCCTCTTTCTCAAAGTTTCCTTTTTGAATTCATTATTTAGGCAGCAGCCCAAATCTTCATGTCGTCGGCACTGTCCGCCTCCGACGTCCCGTTCATCGTGGCCCACAAGAAGGCCACACTCAACAGGCTTAGATCAGGCGCCGAGCACGTCTCCGTCTCCATCGACATCTACAATCAAGGATCCTTGTGAGTTTTCACTTCCCTTTTATTGATTCAATGTGCAGTGGTATAGATTGTTTATATTGGTAGTTTTCGTGTAATGGTATAGATTTATTTCTGCAATGGTATTGATTGTTTATATTGGTAGTTTTCGTGTAATGGTATAGATTTATTTCTACAATGGTATTGATTGTTTATGGTATAGATTGTTTATATTGGTAGTTTTCGTGTAATGGTATAGATTTATTTCTGCAATGGTAGTTTTCGTGTAATGGTATAGATTTATTTCTGCAATGGTATTGATGTTCTTCAAAGTGGTAGTGTTTGTCTAATGGATTGGTACTGATTTCGTTTTTTTTTTTTTTTTTTTTTTGCAGAAAGATTGAGAAAAATATGGAAAGTAAATCTGGCTAGAGATTACGGAAGTGAGAGAAAGAGAAAATTTTAATTAATAGATTTTTGTAACTACCTAAAATGTAATTTATTACAAAATTAATATAATTTATTTTTCCATACCCAATTTACCCTTAGTAACCACGGTGATTACTAGTTTTGTAGAATCACCGTAACCTGTCCCTCAGCCTCCAGAATCTTCGACATAAAGTTGGATTCATCTCCAACACAGCTTTGGCCAACATTGCATGTACCCTGATGAGCCGGAGGTCCCTAGTGGCCATTGCCCTTCGAAAAATGTTCCTATTCACGATCGGCCCCATCTCAATCTCATCTATTTCTCAGGGGATCGGATGGAAGAAAAAAAGGACCTCGATGAAGAAGAATAAGAGAGACGGATGCTCCGCGTGTCGATTCGCCGTCATCATCTTCCATGAGCGGATCTAAATCAGAGGATAACATGCAGCTAAGGAATCATATTGCATGATTCAATTGGGCGCACTCTTAGTTTTCGGAGAAGCAATCTCATAAGAAGAGATTAAAAGGAGGAAACATCATTTGGTAAGAAGGCAATAGCGAGGTTTCATCATGTTCTGGATCGGAGGAGGGGAAAAAGGAAAGGTTGAGGAGAGCTGTGGATGAAAATCGAGAAGAAGGGTGGAGAACGATATCAAAGCTACACCGTATCCGTTGCTCACTATATATATGGCCACGCATTGTTGAATCAATGGTAGGTTAGGAAAGAAAATGGCAACATGGCATATTAGTAAAACCCTTATGGAACAGTAACCAACTTGTAACTTTAATTACACCTAGTATATATGTATAATGCGTGGTGGACATGTGTTGAGGCCAGTTGGTTTAGGTTAGGTTTGGTTTATAATGCGTGGTATATCTAAATTAATCAGGAGTAGAAAACAAAATTATTTCGCCTATGTACTATTATAGAAAAATATCTGGGATATTTATTTAATTTAGATTATATTGTCTAGAGAGATAGAAGATATGAACTGCTATTTGTCGCCCGTATATTTACTATTTGCCGTCCATAATTTAAGCAAAAATTACATTTGTATCCCGTTTACATCTTACCCTTTGGAAACCCTGTACCCACAAACCTACTCGCAGCCGCCGAAGCTTACCTCCTACACGTCGGAGAAGTTCGTCGCCGACCGCAAACCACCCTACCACAAAGATATCCTCCGTTAGCTAGCTAGGCTTCTCGTCCCTCTGCCTGTGATCGAATCGTCATCTTCATCCTTCGCCCGTCGTCGCATAATCGCCTTCATCTTTTCCTATCCTTGGCGTCGGCTCGGCGTTCACCATCATCATCGTCTTCTTTGTTCCCTAACCCAAACCCAGCACAGACCGAAAACAATAAAAGGAAGGGGAGGGAGAAGGTAGAAGCTCCATTGGACCAGAAGCCGCGGTCCGACGCGAGAGTTCGGACGGCGTCAGATGGCGTCCGATATCCGGCGTCAGATGGCGCCCGATATCCGGCGTCAGACAGCGTCCGAAACCTTACATCGGACGGCATGCAAAATCCGACGTTGGACGACGTCCTAAATTCAGCATCAGACCGCGCCCGAAACCCAACGTCGGACGACGTCCGAAATGCAGCGTCGGACCTCATCTGAAACGCGACCCGTCTATTTTTTTTATATAATCTGACCTCTCTAATTAATAGCCGAACAAATTTCCTCCAAGAAAGGCAATAACCCACGTCTCCTTCCCTAATTAACAATCAGATATTTTCTTAATTGAAACACATTAAAATTCTAATATTTTCTAATATACACAAAATAAAGAAAAACAACGTCTAATTAGGTAATTCCAAAGTCTAATTCCATTTCCTAAATTAGTTAGCTGAGGTAAAGGAAAGTAATTAATTAATAATGAAAACAGAGTTCAATATCATATAGTTATTTAAGTGGAATGATTATAGTAATTTAATTAGCTTAATATATGTTGGAATTTGCCATAAAAAAATAATTGTTAATAGTAATAGTAGTATTACATTATGAAAAATTATTGATTTAAGTAGCTTAATACATGTTGAAATTTACCATAAAAATTAATTGTTAATAATAATAGTAGTATTACAGTATGCAAAATTATTAATTAAGTAGCTTAATACGTGTCAAAATATGTTAACAACGTATAATAGTAATTTAAAATTTAGGTTATGTCAAATAATTTAAATAGAGGTAGCTTCGTCGTCTTTGACTAATTAGGGTAGGATTTTACTGAAATGTAGTTTGACCACGATTGAATCAATGATGACAATAACAAGAAGAAGAATATACTCAAATAACCGAAACAACGATGACGGTAACAAAAGAAGAAAGCATATCTTCCTCCTTCTACACCTTCTACTCATCACAAACCCTAAACCCTAATTCCCACCAAATAACTAATTCAACCTCAATTCATCCAATCATACTACGACATTGTCTTAGAGGTAAAATTGTCTCTACCTCCACTAACAACATTTGTTTGCATAATTGACTCAAGATATACCTTGTTATGGTCCATAGAGCTCGCAAAACCCTCGATGTAAAATATGACACTATTCATCTATTTTTGCCCTAGACGTCCAATCGAGAAATATAATGGTCGATTACATCACATTCCTATCCATATTTTAAGGGATCAACGAGGGTTAGGGATGGCAATTTGAACCCGCCCCGCCGGGTATTACCCGACCTGATCCGCGATGGGACGGGTATTACCCGACTCGAGTAGTGTGGGGCGGGGCATGGGTATCAACTTTCGACCCTCCTTGACTCGGCCCGCCCCATTCTTGACCCGTTCTAGGTCCATTTCTTGCCCCATCCATTCATATATCTCCTATTTTGACTTTTCTCCAACTAGTTAGACTTGATCTTTCAACTAAATAGACTCAGTTACCCATTATATTATCACTATTATTCATTCATAAAGTCTTTTCCCTTTCATTTTATCATTAAAAGTAAAATTTAGTGTGTATTTTTCTCAAATAGCATGTAAGAGTGGGTCGACCTGCCCCGCCCCCTACCCGCGCGGGTATTACCCGCCCCGACCCATACTAGCGCGGGGCGAGGCATGGGTATTGAGGTACCCGTCCCACCCCGACCCATTGCCATCACTAACGAGGGTTTCAATAATTTTCTACGTCAATGGCTCTAGTAATTGCGAAAAATGCTTTAGCACTATTTACATAAGTAAAAGTAATTATCCATTAATTTGCATAACATTTACGATAATTTATTCATTTAATTTTAAACATATAAATCATTATTCATTATTCATTATATAATTTTCAAAATTTATATGATTAGTTAACAGAATACAATTATATAAATAAAAAAGATAGATAAATTAAACTTTAACATTTAGCGACGAGACTTTTAGTGACAGTCCTAAAAGTGACGCTAAAAGGTGGTCGAAAACAATGGTCAGACCATTGTTGGAAAAAGGGAATTTTTTAGTCGGGAATTTTCTTTTTGCCGAAAAATGGTTTTGGCCACTTTTATATGAAAAAAATCATCTATATAAATTTCTTTTACCAAAAATTCTATTTTGATAGAATACAAATTTTCAAAGAAAAAATTTTAAAAGGGAAAATCTGACTTTTTATCAAATTTTATGGGGACAAATAATAAATCTATGGGCGTCAAATAACAACTCTCTCGAAGATAGACAGAAACCGAAGTTCAAAGCTCAACATGACGTACGTAGGACTATGATAGTTGTTTCCCATGCCCTTTTAGTTGATCCGACCACATAGTTTCGGCTCTAATTTTCTTGCTTCTTATCTTCAAAGAGATTCACTAATCTTAGCCAAGAATCCTAGTAATCTATACATCCCTCTCATTGCATTAAAAATAAATCCTTTTTCGTATAATCTTGTACGAGTCACTTCCTACTTATATTGGATTCAAATCCTCGATTTTGATACGATTTAATCATGCATGAGTCACTCCCTACCCATATTGGATTCAAATCCTCGATCTCGGTACTATTTCTCATTAACCATTTTTGTTTATACGTCAATCACTTTAGAAATATCGAAGACAGTACTTTTATGATAAAAATTGAGATAGAAGCATGTAAGTAGAGGAATGAATCTGGGTAAATAGGAAAGTACAACTCCGAAGGTTGTATTTATTATTTGCTTGATAATGAAATTTTACACATGAATTATTTTGAGATCTGCTATTGCATAATTCTCAACTCTTTTTTCCATATGATTTAATTGCCTTCTTGGACGCCCTTGGAATTCTCTGGCTGAGGATCTTGTTTGGGTGGTGGGCAGAAGCAGTGGCCGATTTCGACGTTGCAAGCACATGCTCCCGGTGGGGCCTTGCAATCAGCGTCAGTTTTGCAAGGTACGCTGAAGTTAATCCCTTCCACTCCAATATTATTACTCTCGCCGCCTGAAGAGAGCACACGATTTTATTTTCATTAATAAACAAACAATAAACTTCTAGAAAATATAAAATTAAGATAAAAAATTAAAATATACGTACCAAAAAGTGAAATAATTAAAACCATAATGCAGAACAACTTGAAATAAGCCTTCTCCATTATGCCCGAGAACCAACAGTCGCTTGATGGAGGAGATCTTTTGCCCTCTCCTAAAGTTCAATTGGCAAAATGCAGGATAATGTCGTCTCTTTTATATAGGGAGAGAATAGAGCAAGGATAGTTGGGGAAAAAAATATACTATATTGGTCTATAAGACTTTTGGAAAGTTGATTAATTAAGACAAATATTGTTTCCCCTAAAAAATGATTTTACTCCTCACAGTAATAAACGATTTTACAAAAATAAACCGAAACGCCTCCTTACACTTACGGAAAGAAGATGAAGAAGAGAGGAAGAAGGAAATCTCAAGGTTTATTATGATTAAACTTAATGAAAAATCACTAGTTCGATCCTCTCCTAATATAATGAAATTCTTTCTATAATTACCTGATTTATCCCCATAATTTATTCCCCAAAATCCCAACTAATTGAAACAATCAAATCTCTCTCGGTCCGTATTTAACATAATACGCAACAATATAATAACTTCTAAAATAATCCCGCAACAACTACTTTTGCGATAAAAGTCGAGATAGAAGTGAGTAAGTAGAGGTATGAATTTAAAGTAGGGCTGGCTATTTGCTCCGGGACTGTTTGGTTTTACCCGAAATCGGACCGTATAACCCGGATCGGGACCGGACTGGGACCGGATAGCAAACAATCCAATCTCATATTCGGGCTTAGATTTGAGGTAAAAAATCGGATAAATACCAGATAAGAGACCCCCAACACTTAAAATCAAGATAAAATTAGGACCGGACCGGATCAAGACCGGATTGTATCCAATCCAATCTTTGGTCCTTATATTCCTGAAAAGACCGGAGTGGGACCGGATCAATTTGGTCCAATTTAACCGGACCGGACCGTATGGCCACCCCTAATTTAAAGGGAAGTACAACTGCGAAGTTTGTAATTAATTGTTTGACTGATAATGAAAATTTTGCACATGAATTATTTTAAGATCTGCTCATGCTAATTCTGAACTCTTTTTTTTTCATGTGATTTAATTGCCTTCTCTGACACCCTTGGAATTCTGGATGAGAATCTTTGGATTCGGCTCTTGTTTAGGAGGGCAGAAGCAGTGGCCGATTGCGACGTTGCAAGTACATGCTCCCGATGGAGCCATGCAATCAGCATCAGTTTTGCAGGGTATGCTTATGTTAATACCTTCCACTCCAATTTTATTACTCTTGCCGCCTACGATGCACAATTACAAACAAACAATACAATTCTGGATTTGTTTACTAAAAAATGTAAAATATATAAAGATGAAAATGAAATAAATTTTTTACAAACCATGATCAATATGAAGAAAATATACGGTACACAAAGCGAAAGAATTAAAACCATGACACAGAACAACTTGAAATAATAATTTTCCATCATGCTCAAGAACCAACAGTCGGTCAATGGAGGAGATCTTTTGCCTTCTCTCTTAAATTTCAATTGGCAATATGCAGGATACAGAGCACATGATGAGGATATTGTCTCTTTAGTATTTATTTGGGTTAATACCTTAGTTTGGCCCGAACTATACACATACTTTCTACTTTGGTCCGTGGTATTGAAAATTGCTACTATAACCTGAACTATGTAGCAAACTTCCTCCTTTGGCCTGGAGGCGGGTTTGACCGTCAAATTAGACGGTCAAACCTGTTGACCGTTAGTCAACGTACACCTCACCTGCCACGTCAGATTGGAGAAACATAAAAAATTAATTTTTTTATTTTTTTCTTTCGATTAATAAAATTAATAATAATTCTTATACAAAAAAAAAAGTCAATTAAAAGAACGAAAAAAGAAAAGAAAAAGGCCAAAATTATCTAAGCCCTCCACTTCCCTTATCCTCAAGCCATGGCTTCCAGGAACTCACTCTTCCCATTCCTCTGTACTAGCTTCCTCCTGCTAACTCCAACCAACTCAGATGCACCTCCTCAAAATTCACTGTACAACGCGGGCATCAAAGCAGCCTACTGGCAATCATCCATGGCGGAATCTTTCCATCCATCGTCAATCCAAACTTCCCTCTTCACCCACATCCTCTACGCCTTCGTCGAAATCGACCCATCAGCGTACGAGCTCACCATCTCCCAATCCGATCAAATTTTAATGACAAACTTCACTTCCACCCTACACACCAAATCCCCACCACCGCCGAAGCTCTTCTGTAGAAACTAACGATTGCGAAAGTAAAAGAGAACACCGAGGTTTACGTGGTTTCCCCGAATATCGGGACTAGTCCACGGAGAGCATAGCTCTCAGGAAAGATGTCAATATGGTGATGAGTTTCAGGACAGAAGTCTGTTCACTCTTTGTAACATCCTGATTTTTGGTTAAGGTTCAACCTGTAATCGAGCCTGTTCGAATTGGGAGCATAGTTATTCTAATTGATTTCTATTTTCCTAAGGATAAATATGTTAAAAAAAAAAGAGAGGAGAGGAATAGTTCCCCACCCGTTACCCGCTCCCTCTCTAATTAACCCCCATCCTCAACGTTTTCCATTAAGCTTTTCCCCCCAATTAAATTTCCCTAACAATTAACCCCACCCCTCTGTATTATCGACGTTAGCATAAGAAGGAAAGAGCGAAAGGAAATGAAAACCCCCTACCGTCCCTCTCTCCCTCTCATGCCCGACTTCCCATCTCCGGCAAGCGAGAAGCCCGACCCTCCATCGTTGCCACCCTCTCATGTCGACTACTTCCCGGCGACGACCAGTAATGCCAGTTGCTTCATTCCTCCCGGCGACACGCGAAGCAAGCAACGACAACAGATGAACGAGAAGGAGGAGGGTGTCGTTCAGAAGCACTAGTGACAAGAGGCGAAGGACGGACGGAAACGATAATGGTGGTGATCAACAAACCTAGGAGTTACTAAGTGTCGCTAGATGTGGCAGCGGGACAGGAGAGATTGACGATGAACGATAGCAGGACTGCCACTTCATACGACACAACTAAGAATTATAAGAAGGTAATCTTTGCTCCTGATTTAAGGATTGAAGTCAAATGGTGACAATTGAGATGGAATGGTCGCCGATCGAACATCATGAGGATTTTTATTATTTTGGTGGCGAATTAATTGTGAATATGCTAATTGGTGGAGGCTTTTGGGTTACGATTAACGTGGAGGGTGCTAATATAATATTCCCACCATATAATTGCACTTTGGTTTAAGTTATAGGTAGTGATTATGGATTTCATTCTACTGTAGCAGTATGTGGAAATGAGGCTCGAGTGCTAACTAGTTGATTATAGAGAGATCAAGGGATGGAGACAAGATACCTACCTTACGTCAAATTCGTTACTTCAGTATCAAGGTGAGTGTAAAGGGGGTAAAATCTCCGTCGAGGTCTTTTAGTTTATGTCTTTTAATTCAGTTATGTTATTTAATTTTCAAGTAAGCGCGATTATGTGTGTGAGGCATCCCACCGCCTACTTAAGGTGGAGGCACGCGTTGTGCTATGTATGTGATGTATGATTGATGGTAATTGAACCCCCGGGCGGTTGGGCCACTACTGGACGCGGTAGATGGTCGGGTCACTGCTGGACGGCGAGACGTAACGCAGCAGTTGATCGAGTATGTTGGGGTCACTACTGGACGGCGAGACGTAACGCAGTAGTTGACGGGCATGGACTGGACGGCGAGACGTAACGCAGTGCCATTGCCGAGTTTGGGTATGCAACCGGACGGCGAGACGTAACGCGGTTGGCATACTAGGGTAGGACACCGGACGGCGAGATGTAACGCTGTGGTCCTAGTGTTTTGTGTTTGATTTAAGGATTAAAGTTGAGAACTTCTATGAGTTAAAGTTTAAATGAGTTATTAAGGATGGAAGTGAGAACGACTTTCATCTAAGGAAAGGAAACGCTAATAATGTGTTTTAGTAAGGAGGTTGCTTAGGGCGAGACCTTAGGAAGTAACGACGAGACTGACCCCTTCTCACTCACCAGGTTGAGGAAGGGTTAGCAAGGGTGGATCCCGAGAAGAGGCAGTGTGAGGCGAGCTACTGCACCAGCATGGACGAGACCTCAAGGAACTCAACCAGGAGTTAGAGCTAGAGTTAGCTTAATTTTATTGTTTATGGTTATGAGTATATGTACTGGAGATTCAAAGTTCAAGATTTTGGGTTAAGTTGTTTTAAGTGTTTGAGATTGAGATTTTGCCCAAGTGTTGGGGCTTTTTGGTTTAAAATTATTAAATAAAGTCAGTTGGTTATTTTAAAATGTGGTTTGGGTTGCTCCGGAGTAACCGGTTTTGGGTTTGAGTTGTGGTTTGATTTTCGAAAAAGGTCGGGACGTTACATTTTGGTATCAGAGCCGGCACTCCTCTGTTCCTTGGTCTCCAAGGAATACTGGAGTGACGATCTGAGTTTTTCAAGGTTTATGTTTTAAAGGAATAGAAAAAGGGTGTCAGGTTAAAGGTTTGGCCAAACGAGTCAAGGTTCTTTCAGTAATTTTTAGAATCTCCAGTATACTCTAATCATGATAAGGAAATAACTTTAGGATGCCCTATGGGGGTTATGATACGTCTTGGGAAGGAGAAGGAGCAGGTTCCTAGAGGGATCGTTTAGTGAAATCCCTTCATGAGCGAGAAGAGGAGGTTCAAGGCAGCTCCTACGGAGATGCGGGCTGATCAGAATAAGGTTCAGGAAAAAGTCAAATATCTAGTACATCGTCCGTCGGGGCAAGGTGTTACGGCAAATGATGGCCAATATCTAGAGGCAAGGATGCAAGGAAGGTTCGTTAAGTTCGCGAGAATCGAGCGTAGGGCTACGACCCAAGGAGTAGTGGATGTTAGACTTAAGTGACACTAGGGGGACATAAACAAAGTTAGGGTGATTTTAGTAGGTCATAGGGAGCATGAAAAGATTTCAAGGGATTAGTGACTCAAGGATTGGAGGAGGCACATTCGGTTACATACACCGACTGGGGAATCCCTTAGGGATACAGTATGTCCCTAAGAAGAGGAATTGTGGACCTAGGGAATTAGATCGATGGAGAGTCTTGGAAAAGAAGGGGGTCACCATCGAGATAAATGATGAAAAGGATGAGGTTGGAGAAA